GATCTGCCTCGCCCGTGAAGAGCGCAATGATGGTGCCAACTTGGGCCAGTGAAGCAACGTCCTCCACAACTAGACTGAATAACAAAAGGACAGCAAATTGTCTGTTCCCCTTCCCCCAATTCCCCAATAAAAATCTTTAAAAAAATACAGTGGATGTTTAAATTTAAAAAGATTTATTACAGTAAAAGACACATTACCATTAATCCCCCACAAAATACTTCCCCTCACTTCCAACACACTTATCCCATCGTTCTTGCCACTTCCTGAACTTGCCAGTTCTAGAAGTCCTCTTTTGTGAGTGTCTTTAGTTGTGCTGTAGTGGCTGCCTTGATGTCCTGAATCATTTTGACTCTGGGGAAGAGCCAGAAGTTGCACGGTGCCAGATCCAGTGAATGAGGTGGATGAGGACACACCATAATGTTATTTGACAGAAATTGCCATATACCAGAAGTGATGTGCGACATGGAGCGTTGTCAAGATGGAGGATAATTTATGGCATACTTTAAAACACACCTTCTCCCAACCATTGCTCACACCCGACTTACTGCATTGAACAAGTTGAAACTTGTCATACACTATTACTCAAGTTCATTGCCCAGCTTCTCATATTGAAGATCCCTGCCTTTCCATTGGATAGCACGCAGCAGCAGCGTTCACCATAATTTTTGATCACACCTTGTAATTTGGTGAATTAAAACTTTGGAGCCTCAGTGTGTGTGTGTGTGTGTGTGTGTGTGTGTGTGTGTGTGTGTGTGTGTGCGCGCATGCGCGCATATCCACAGTGGAGAGAGGAGAAACACTTGTATTTACGTTTATTTGGTCATCAGCTAATTAGTCATTTATTAGTACATGCTTGTAACACAGACTTAGAGTCATGCTCTTATGCTCTATTTTAAGCTGCTTCTTTGGAAGCTATTTGTGTTGTAAACTATCTTGAGTGAATTTCTTTCGTTAGATGCTAAGTGACATTTTGATTAAGGGCCATTATTGTCATTATTATTATATTTATCAAGACTTAAATATGTCAGAAAAGAAAATCCTGTGATTATAACAATATCCTGCTCAGTTGTACCTAAAAATCTTTAAATTCCAAATGATTTGGGTACATTTATTAAAAAAAAAGATTGCTATAGGAATCTCACCCTACCCCCATCTTTACAATGGTTTTCTGGTATTTATTTTTAAAACAGAATCACATTACTAGAAAGTTAAAGCTTGCATCCCTAATGTTTATGTGAAACCAAACTACATTTGATTGTCATTGAATTAACCTAACAAAGAGCCTGAATTTCAGTTTGTAGTCTACAATATGTATGTTGTTGAATTTGAAGTATTTTCATAAACTGATTTATCTTTGATATGCTGTATATCATGAATGATTCTTTTCTTGTGACATAAATAAATAAATAAAATGAGTAAGAAATAAATTTTGGTTTCTGAATTTCTTGGTCGTAGATAGATCTTAGTGCATTTGTAAACTTAAGAATTGAGAGAATAATAAGAAAAAAATTGGTAAGGCTTGAAAGACAGCACAGACTGTAGCAAACAATGAATTTACTCACCTCCTTTACTTCAGTCTTTGGCACATTGGGACTGATTCATAACTGGGTGAATCCTCTAATCCTACTTTTTTGATTATGGTGTAATTTTGAACATGGAAAAAGACCTAGTGTGTGATATCTATCATCTATATCTATTGTCTTTCCTGCAGCTCAGGGTGCCACCCACCCCCTCTTCCATTTTCATACTGTGTAGGGCTGAGGCAAAGATCCAAACCACAGAGTGATGCAAGGGAGAAACAGAGGGTGGCCTGCTATGCTGGAGGGCCCAGAAAGGCTAACCGAGACACACAGGAAGGAGCAGACCTTCCCTTAATGGAAACTTGATACCTGGTCCTAATAACATGGGTGAATGTTTCCTGATCTTACACTACCTGGTAGAGAGAGCAGAGAGCAAAAAGGGACAACATAACTCAGTCGTTGACTCATTTACCCACATACTCAACTAATATTGATTGAGTGCTGAGTGGGCACCAAACACCAAGGTTGGTTCTAGGAATTTGAAGATGGATAAGTTACCACCCCTGTCTTCAAGGTGTTTTACTCTAGGGGAGAAAGACATTGAAGCCAGTACTTAAACTTGCTAGGGTAATTAATATAATGGGGAACAATTTTGAAGAGAAACAGCACAGATGTGAAGGCCAATCAAACTCACCCTCTCACTGAGCTTTGTAACCAGGAGCAGGGTGATTAATAACTTTGATCTTGTTTCTTCATGTGTTGGGGGTGGGGGAATCCTCTAACTTGCAGATAATATATGTAAAGTGCCCAATAGATGATAGAGTGTGGATGTGCCTCAGGTGCTCAGGGAGGCCTCCAGGGCAGTGGGACCACTGTGCCCTGAGTCCCATGGCACAAGTGCAAGGAAGGCCTGTATTGGGACACTGGGGCCCAGGACTAGCAAGGAGTTGCCACCGACAGAATTTAGTCCCGGTCCATTTTAAAGGAAAGGACTGTGGCTGGCAGCTCAAAAGAGCCCACTGCCATTTTGGTCGTCGTCCCAATTTCTGACACTTTAATGTATTCCACATGACTCACTTTTTGCCACTTAGCTCCTCGTTTACTTGGAGAACCCTGCACTTCTACTTGCCTCTTTCTCTTCTAGGTCTTCCATCTAGTATTTTCCTCTTGCCCTTCTCTCCACTTTCTGGTTTACTGTATTTGAATAGTATTATGTTTTGAAGTCATATTATATATGTATTATATATGAATTGTAAGAAGTTAAAATTTATTTGGTCATTGCTGCCTTTTTATGAACTCAAACCTATTGGTTAATGGTTACGGAGCTTTAAAGTGTTAGGCAACACACGTTTTATGCATTATATCAGTGCTTCTCAGACGTTAATGTAAATATATGTCACCTAGGGATCTTGTTAAAAGGGAGGTTCTGATTCATTTGGTCTGGCGTAGCGCCCAAGAAGCTTCCGGGTGATGCTGCAGGTCCACAGACTGCATTTTGAATAGCAAGGCATCGGATCACTTGATCCTAACAACAACACTATGAGGTAAATACTATTTTACATATGTGGAAACTGAAGGTTAGTGGAGTTAGAGGATTTTCCCAAGGTTGTGTTGCTAGAAATTAGCAGAGCTTGGACTGTAAGCCCAGGTCTGCTTCCTGGTTTAATGTATATTATCTGGGTTTTGGAAATATCCTACGGCACCCAAGGGTGATCCCATGCTCCTTGAAGCAGAATCTATATTATTAGGTCACTATTTCCTCCTTTTAAATAAAACTTATTTTCCAATTTCATTCCTTTTTGTGCAAGGCCTTGTATTACATGGTGATTCAGATGTGTTGGATTTTGTTTCTAAAGGTATGTAAAGTGTAGTATGACTTGTTTGCCAGGATTCTAGTTTAGAAAACATTGTGTCATTGATGCAATCTGGATTGAACACAAGAGGAAATGGCTGGGGAAGGATGGTGTGAGGAAAGGAAATCCTTGGGCTGACTCACTGTTTAACACTCAGTGTACACAGTGTGCTAGTCTTGTCACAGGCTAGTGGAAAAGGACACAGTTGCTGTCCCTTATGGATCAGATATACTTTAAAAAAACATTTGACCTGCTTATAAAATTAATATAGTTTGTAATAGGAAATTTCAGCTGCAGAAATGTAATAAAACTTTTTTCTAAAATCCCACCAACAAGGTTTCCTATTTTACAATTTTAAGACCACAAATTGAAATTTAAAAGACCATGGAACACATTTACACAGAACAGCAAAGAGTTCAATGTGGTAATAGCTTGCCATACATAATTTAAACACTATATTTTGGTTTTGAGGGGGCAGTGGGAGTAAAAGGGGTAGAGCTACGAGTCCCCCAAAGATTTTAAAAGATGCAAATGCGCTCTACGAGTCCCCCAAAGATTTTAAAAGATGCAAATGCGCTCTTTCAGCCAGCAAAAGCGTTCTGGGGGGCTGCTCCAACTTTCACCAAGGGTCTCAACTCTGAGCCTGACCAGTGCAGCTGAGGACTGAGGTTAGCTGCTCTCAAACCCCGTCCAGGCTCACCGACGCATGCGCAGTCTGCCCGCTGGGCTCCGTGGGCATTTCGCAGGCCTATTTCTCCCTGGCAGGGTTTGCACGGTCAGCAAAAGGGCCAGAGCTGCGACCATGAACAGTTCTTACCCTGAGCGGGGAGAGGGAAACCGTCTCTACGTAAAAACACCTCGCGTCGACAGAGGCTTGGGGGCTGAGGGCGGGTTTCCGCAGGCATCAACGCACACACACTTTTAAGGTGCCAAAACAGCCTTACGTGCAACTAACTTGGAGGAAGCGTGATGCTCTGCAGGAAGAAAATTTAAGGGATAGAACAGGGAGTGGCGAGGGGTGCCGATCTCTCAAACTTTCAGCGCTGCGTTCTCCAGATCCTCTGTGCCCCGTTTTCATTTCTCTGGGAGTCCGGGTGCCCCAATTAATCCTTCGCTCCTCTCGGACCCATTAAAAAACTGCACTTGAAGTTTAGGGGGTCCCAGTAGGAACCCCACCGTATCAGTGTTCAGCCACATCGTCCCCAAACCGGGAAGCCGTCCCGAGAGACAATCCCGGGACACCGGGGGCTGTGTGAGCCCCGGTACCCTGCGGGCTGGTGGTGGGCGGGGGCGCCGGGATCCCGAGTGGCCCCCGCCCCGGCCGCCGACCCCCGGCCAGGGCGGCTAGCTCGCTCTCCCACCCGTGCCTCTGGGGACTCGCAGACGGCGGCCAGACGGGCTGCGCGCTGGGCATGCTCAGTCGCCGGTGCCGGGCTCGCGAGTCGGAAGCCCGTGCGCCGCCGCCGCCGAGCCGGCCGGGGCGCCCTGAGAGCGCGCGGGACTCGCTGTAGTGGCGGCCGGTGGTGGCGGAGTCGGGCCGGGATCCTCGCCGAGCCCCGCGTGGGGCCCCCGACCGGTCCGCCGCGGCGCCTGCTCCCTCGCACCCTCGCAGGGAAGGGGCGGGCCGCGGCGGCGGCGGCGGCGGCGGCAGTATCGGCGGCGGCGGCGGCGGCAGCAGCACAGCCACCCGCACACTCGCCTGCCTGCCGCAGCTCGGCCGCGTCCCGGAGCCGTCGGGCATGGAGCCGTGGAAGCAGTGCGCGCAGTGGCTCATCCACTGCAAGGTGCTGCCCACCAACCACCGGGTGACCTGGGACTCGGCGCAGGTGTTTGACCTGGCGCAGACCCTCCGCGATGGAGTCCTGCTCTGCCAGCTGCTCAACAACCTCCGGGCGCGCTCCATCAACCTGAAGGAGATCAACCTGAGGCCGCAGATGTCCCAGGTAAGGAGGCCGGCGCGGGCGTCTCCGCCTCCAGCCGGCATCTCCCATTAATCACCCGGCTAATTTCTTTGTGTAAATGCAAACATCTAGGTGCACCCAGCGTGCTCTGCCTCCCAGCCTTCTGCTTTGGGGACCACTTCGGCTTTTCGTACCTTGGCTGGGAACGGTTTAGCTCTTTAGCTGAATGCTAAAGCGTCTGGAGATGGTAGGAGGATTTCGGAAAGGCTTTCTGTGAGGCGGGAAAAAATAAGCTGTCCTAGGGTGCCCTTCACCTACGTGTGTATGTGTGGGGCAACAAAAGGAATTGGATCCAGCTCTTTATAACGATGCAGAGGAATGAAACGACATGATGGGGGGTAATTTTGGCCTTTAATCTGTTCTTTTGCTTTGCGTTTGTCCCCATGTTTTCTTAAAAGAGGAACCATGACATAGACGAGGACTCTAGGAAGTGGAGGGCGTTCTGGTACCGTTATTGGTACAAGAATGACACTGGTCAAAGGGAAGAAAAGGGAGTACCACGCCGCGGCAGCCCCGAAAGCCCCCTGAGTGTGTGGCCCGCTGGCAAGCTAGGTGGTTGTGTTTACAGCCCTTCTTGAACCATCTGAGAAGGAGCGAGTCCAACCTCACTCAGCAGCGACAGGAAACGAGAAGTTTCACTCGAGATTCTGCTTTCCTTCATTCAGTGCTTGCCCTGGTGGTGTGCTGCACGCTTGGCTCCTGGGCTGGAAACTCGCCTGAAGGTGCCTCTTTGGGGGTTAACAAAAAAAAAAAAGGCAACTCTGGAAGGCTGTGTCAACTCAAAAGTCACAGCTCAGTGGAATGGTAATTTCTGGGTCTTGTCAGAAAGTTTTCATGCATAAAGATGTTACACATGATTCAGGACATTTCTTTTCTCTGTCACAGTGTAACCACTTTCAGCTTAAAAGGGAGGAGAAAGAGTCCCCTCCACGACACATGTGAGCACTAATCCTGAGTGATGTGGAGCCCCAGCGACTTAACAACTAGTGCGGTGCCTTTTATAACGAACGGCCCTTATATAATTTGCTAATTATGTACTTAAAGTTAGAGCACACTCATGTGTTGGTGTCAGTGTTGCATCAGGGTCCCTCTGCACTTCAAATTCTGTTTCCCTCGCCTGTCTGCTTTCCACTTGCTGGTTAGCAGCCCCCAAGAAAGGACAGGCTGGTCGCAAGTGGTGAGAGCCATGTGCATTTAGAAATGAGATAAGTTGTTTCATACTCGCCCATATGCTGGGTGGTGATTGCTAACTCTGTGGACTGCTTCTGAGTTGTCCCAATCTGGATTTCCTGTCAAGGGGTTTGCAGGCATTTCCATTAAGCTGGGAGCTGCTGTTCTGAACAAAGTTCTGTAGGGAGCTGCAGGTGGTTATCCAGCCTGTAGACCCCCATTTTCCACCTGGCTGTAGCCTCCGCAGGCAGCGTGGGTCAGGATGCTATGGCCCACAAGCGGGCAGTACAGTGCTGTGCGCATTTCCTGAAACTTCTGTTTCCTGGAGTTCTCGGGATTGTTCAATTAGTTCTTAATCAAGTTTTTTGGACAGCCGTGGATCTTTCTTTAAACCTTCTAGCCTTTATTTGAATGTTAACAAAAAGCTTGTCAAATGTTTTTGTTTTTCTCTTTGTAGAATATATTAGATGTAATTTAATCTTTTTGATGACTAAGGATCATCATTATAAGCGTCATTAATGAAAACTGAGCACTTACAATGCTCTAAGAACTCTATTCCCTGCTGGGGTACCACAAGGAACACAGCAGGATCCTTGCCCTAAAGGAATCATTACTGTGCTATCAGATAAGCCACCAGGTTATAATGATGTAAATAGCTGGATAGCCTTTCTTAGGCTGTTGTGCTTTTGAGTTCTTAAGCCTGCCCAACTCTGAGCTTTCTGGTTCCAAATGCAGTGCAGTTTCCCCTGTAATGTCCTGTGAGTGAGGGCTTCTCCCAGAAGTGAACCCTGGAAGGCTGGCATCTGAGTAGGGTGATGTTTGTTTTGCTTTCTTCCTGGTTCTTGGCTGCATTGCACAGAGATAAGGTTGCTGGACAGCTGAGTGATGGACAGGTGAGTTTGTCATTAAATCCCTAAATGAGACTTATTAAATGGTTTCATTAAACAAGTCGACATATTTAACATGCCAACAGGGCCCAGCACATACTATGCACTTAATAGCGAAATTACGTAAAGCATTTTTTTCTATTGCCATCTTAAGAGTAATAGGTTACAATAAAAATTTTAAAACAATTGCAAGGCCTACAAATTCCTTTGGGCTGACATCTCTAAATATTTCTGCCTCCAACCACTCATGTATCTTTCTTGGTAAAGGTTCTAGTTGCTTCTGGTTTTAAGGCTCTTACCACATCAGCTCTATTCATATAATCCAGTGAATAACCTAGTAACCCTGACATGCAGCCCAGCCAACTTCTGAATTTAGAGTTGTCATTACTGTGTCTAAGAGTCATTCTGCCCACCTGACTTAGGTTCTACTAATTTGAAATAGACTGATTCCTTATGGCACATGATCTTCTAAGTCAGGTAATAAGTATAAGCTCTCACTTCAGCGTCTTGTGGTATTTGAGGCTGTTATGAACAGATGTTGAAAATTTTAGTTTATTTGTTGCTTATTGCTTGTTTTTAATTCTCCTGAAAGAGGCTGTAAAATGAGTGGCCTTTTTATATGAGTGTTTATCACCATTGAGTGGGATTTCTTCCATTCTCTGTTAGCCTTCTGACTGGTTTGCGTTTACAGAAAAACAAAAACAAAAACAAAACAAAACACCACTGCAAATAATGACTCAATTGTAGGTTTGACTCTTAGGGTCTTTATAAGTTATCCTTCAAAATAGATTTATAAGTGGGGTCCCAATCTTTTACTGTTCTTTCTGGCTGTGGACATCAGCTCTTTTTCTTTTTTGACTCTCGCTGTATTGGTAAGCGGATGATCTTCAGTTCAAAAATTACTTTTTTAAAAACCCTGATTTCAGTTTTGTTTATAATGAATTAAAGAGGTAAACATTAATCAACGTTTAGTTACACATTTAACATGTTCCTTTTATTTTAAAGTCAAGTAAAATCTAGAAGATACTTGAGAATCCAAGAAATTTGGTCTCTGTATATATTAGATTTATTTTTCATCCCAACCAGTGTTCTAGCAATAAATGATTCGGGAAGAGAAGAGCCTACCTGTGATAGTTGTACCACGTGGTACATTGCGGACTAACATGTATTTGAGCTTGATGTCATTTTTAGTGGTTAAAGTCTCCATGAATGCCTGTAACCAACCATAGATCTATTATGAATGAAATTATCTTATATTACTATTTTGTAGTTTTAAATTTTGTTTTATTCTCCGTCTTAGGGTGGGAGTAATATATTTGATGAATTTACTGACCACTGTGTATATATACTGACTACTACATAGGTAAAATTTGACTTGTCTTACATTGAATTCAGGCTTTAAGGGTTCCTTCAATAGTATGTGTTCCTACTATGTGCCATCCACTGTTTTGGACACTGGCTTAGAGCAGTAAACAAAGTGAACACAGTCCCTGCCCTAAAAGGACTTAGGTTTTAGTGGGGGAGATGGACAATAAGGAAATAAATGGCTATATAATATGATGTGCTATGAAGAGATTTGAAGCTGGGTAAGGGACTAGAGTGAAATGTGATTTGATTTTCTAGAAGGTCAAGCATGGCTGTGAAGTAGGAAGGAAACCAGCAGAGTGGTTCCAGGAAACCGAGGGAATAAAGTGTTTCTAGCAGGAGTGGTCAGACATGTGAAATGCTGCTGCTTGAGCACATGAAACGAGGATTGAGAATGGAATATTTTATTAAGCAAAATAAAGTTTTCGGTGACTTTGACAGAAACAGATTTGGTGAGTGATGGGCAAACTCCGGATTGGAGAAGAAGAGAGGAGGAGGAGGAGTGTATGGAGACAGCAACTGTAGGCATCTCTTTGGGAATAATTCTGCTGTAAATGAAAGAGAAAAATGGAATAGAATTTTTATTTTCTACCTATTAAAAGAGCTCTTTTAGATTGAGACAGATTTTATCATATGGCACTCTTGTATATATGTGTATGTGTGGAAAAAATAAATGTGCATGCATGTTAAAAAAGATAAGTGAAGTAAATTCAATGTCTTCCTAAAACTTCTCTTTACTCAGCTTACTATTCTTCTGAATACTATTTTTTCTTTTGATTTTCTTATTTTTTTTCACATAATATTTTACTCTGAGCATCAAGTATTGGTGATGTAGCATTTCTAATAGTATATACCACTGTTGTCCCCAAGATTTCCTTCCAAGCTGGAGCTGGGTTTTGAGGCTGTTACTACTTTTAAAAAAACGTTAAATTAAGAGAACTTTATTTCTGCTGTATATAACTGTACATAGTTTTAAAAACTGATTATATTAGTTTTAACATTAAGGTGTACATTCCATGTACATGTCTGTACTCCCTGCCCCCCAAACCAGGTGGTGCTACATAGTGATTGTTGGATTATACTGAAGGGAGGAAGAAAGGCTGTCATTGTCCAAAAAGAGTGGTGTGCCTGGTTACATTTTTAGTCAGTTCAGAATAATGTCATTTAGTTTTTCTTCTCAGAAGTCAACAACCTCTTTGCCATTTGTTCGATTATTCCCTTGGATAACCTGTCAGCATAATTTTACACTTGACACCAATCAAGATCTGTTCACGTAAAGTAGTTAAGGCGTCTTCAGGCATCTTAAGCACTTGTTCTGTCTGCATGCTTGATGGCTTACCTGGGGTTCTCCAGGAGCCAGAGCCTGCGATAAAGGATGGAAACACTGAAGTTCCATCTGGCTGTCAGGATGAGGAAAGTGAGAAAGTGTCTTTTGTTTTAAGATGGTGAAAATTATATCATGTTTGTAATGCAAATGAGGTTGATCCAATATAGATCATTGATTTCCTGATTTTCAAATACAAATTATTTTTCTTAAATTTATTTTTCTTGGACTCTCTG